CAAACAATTTGCCTTCATATTTCTCTACCTCAAACCATGTATCCATGAAACTTCATCATTCCTCTCTTTCTAAATATAAACATTAGCCACATACACACCTTGTGCTCTGATACAAATAACCCATTAGCTTGCGGAACCGGGAATCATAAATACCGGGATCCTACCCAAGATCGTGTACTCAATTGGCCAAATGCGAAGAAGATCAATACAACTATAAATCGAGTGCGAGAAATAAAGCACACACAAAAAAGCACACCACAGCAATACAAGATTTATGTGGTTCACCCCATAGGGCTACGTCCATGGCCTCGGTAAGTAGAAATCCACTATCACAATGAAGATTACAGTTTTGAGTTACAAAAGATAATACCCATCTCTAAACATCAGTAAAAAAAACATCATGGATCTTTCTTTTTAAACCCGCTCTCCCGACCGAGCAACACCATCGATTACCTTATTTCCCACCATAATGTTGCTACGGAAAAGATAGCTTCAAGAGTTATATTGAGATTTTCTCTCTCTATAAATTGACGTTAACCAACTCAAAACTCATGCAAATACCGCCTCTCTCTCGTATGCCATGTCTCTCTCTCTTGAAGATTTTCTCTCTCTATAAATTGATGTTAATCAACTCAAAATTCATGCGAATACCGCCTCTCTCACGTATGCCATGTCTCTCTCTCTCTTGAAGACTCATCTCCATATTGGAGATCCATTCCTATAACCCCCAAAGGGGTGACCTTCAAATGATGGGTATTATGTCCTCGTTCACTCTATTATAAATATATCACTTTCTTGCTTGCCAATAAAATCAATTTTTTATTTTCCGTAATACCCTAATATTTACAAAAAAATATGAGTATGGCAATTTAGTTATCACCAAACCCAACACTGGTATTTCTCTCTCTTAGTTGGTGTGTCGAATGCTTACAATTGGTATCAGAGCTTCCACAAAACTCTACATGTTAATGGGGAAAGAGTGAAACCCTATCTACCTCATTTTCTCACTCTAGTTGAGGAAGGAGTCTTTCCTACATGGAGTAGCTATGGAGGCCATCTTTTTTTTTTTTTTGGTAATTTAATAGGGAAGACAAGCCCCAACTTGTTTTTTCAAATAGTTTAGAAGTTAGTTTATTTAAATGTATTAGAAAGGCGGTGTTGGTGAGAATGAAAACCACAGTGTCGTGACTAGAGTGTTGCAGTACTATCAACACGACCCCATCCCTGTTCCCTATGAGTATATTTAATACACTTATTACTACATTTTTAGATGACAATAAAAAAATTTGCTAGTTTTTTGATACATTAAGGGAACAATTAAGCATGGTGCCTAGTAGTCACAAGTATATTGTACGTTAGCAAGGGATACGAAAAAGGAAAATAAAAAATACAAGAAAAAAAAGGGAAAGAAAACATATTTGAAGCACTGAAGGAACTAATTTAGAGATGAATCATAGTCGATGTAACAATGTTAGATTAAACTTGCGTGAGTGTAGAGTACCCATAGTGTTTAAAAAGGCAGACTGATTGGATGAACTGGTCACCCACTAGTGTGAGCTGATATGGGACGAACTGGTCACCCACCAGTGTAAGCTGATTTGACTTTGCCAGGGAAAAAAACAAAAAAAAAGAAGATAAAGAACAATAACAAAAAATAAATTAAATGGTATAATCAAGACACGATATTTGGTTTTGTATAATATGAACTATAAATCAAAATAAAAAATTGAAAACCAAAAAACATTTTGGGAAGGAAATGATGGGAAAAAGTGGACCTAAAAGAACAAAAATCGACCTTATAAGTTTTTCGTTATGATTGAAAAAAGTTCGTAGATCAATGTGATAGGAACATTTTGGGATGAATTTCAAGAGATTTCAGGAAACAATGACGGAGAAATTGGAGCTTCTCAATCGCTTAAAAAACCTCTCGAAATTTCAACCTTAGATATCTTTGAACCGGGCGTTGCTCCAACAAATTATGGTATGGACATTGTAAAGGGATCCAAATAGATAATTTTCAAACAAATTTCTGATAATTTGGTTGCAAATTGAGAGATGAACGGAATGAAAGGTGGACCAGGTCTTAAAAGATGGTGCAAAAAAAACCCAAAATTTGATCTTGAGATTTCATAGATTTTGGGTTTTGATTCAAATCTTTTTTAGGAACAAATCGGGACAAATTTGATAGATTTTGACGAGAAAGGAGGGAGAAATCAATAATTTTCCAGACGAGCCAAAGATTTTTTGGGTTGGCGGTGATCAAGGAGGCAACACACTGTTACGAAAAAAAGACGTATGGGCATGATGGTTTTCCTCTTATATCTTTTTAAAAACTCTCAAGAGTTGAGGGAATTCATGGGCAACCCCAAACACCTAATTGCCTTCCTTCACAACCCCAAACAACCTAATTACCCCAATCCTATCTTAAGCCTCACTAGGGATCACGCTGGGTTAGATAGTCCACGGAATTAACTTTCCCATGCTCCATGTACCGTAGGCAACATCCTGAAAATGCCATTGAAACCCCATTATTAGGGAAACCAAAATTAATCAACTTTAAACTCGCTTAATTACCCTTGAACACGCCTTCCAATATCGGCTAAAAGCCGTCCTAATTGGGCCCAAACCACCTAAAACACCTTCCAAATCAACCTGAACCCTAGATTAGGCGACCCTTGCATCATAAGGCGTCAAATCTCAATCTAAGCGCCCTTAGCTAAGCCAAATCATATTTTATCCAAAGAAATCAAAGAAATAAAATAACTTATAAAAGTGGGTCATTAATATACAAAAGAAAAAAAAGTTTATATAAGGTTGACACCAGAAGAGTTAAGGTGTATCTCAAAACTCCATTGAAAAAGGCTATTTGACATTGGAAAACCATCTAAATTGATCATCTCAACATCGAGATGTATGGATATACAAAAAAAGAAGCATAAGTCATAAAAATAGTACATCTTGCAACACATTATCTGGATCGTCCATTTTGAAGGTTTCTCATGCATTTTTAGATGGAATAGTTACGTACGGACCGATTTTTAATAGCGTTATAATGAAATGGCACAAAAATATACTGTTATTACTCAAAAGGACGCGAACTCTGAATTTTTTTAATTTTACCAAGTTTGCTCCTAGTTTGATTTTGGAAACCTCGGAGCCCTTGGTAACATTTCAAAACGGTTTGATGTTTTTAAAATTGGACCATATTTTCAATAAAAAAAATAAGATTTTGTGGTCCGATGATTTTAACAATAGAACCGTATTTAACAAAAAAAAAAACCACCTAGCGGTCCGTATTTTCAACAAAACTTCTATTAGTTGGAAAACTATCGAGGGTTCTAATTTGCCAGAAATAGAACATGCGGCGTTGAAGATATACTGCGATGCAGCTGTCGCTTGTCTCCTTCTCCTGATGCAAAAGATTGTTAAGAGAGAGTTGGCTCGCTGCATCCTCTCTCAATTTTAGAGAGAGAGAGAGAGAGGAGAAGAGATACAGTGAAATCTCGTATCTCACACATTTCTCCTCAAACTTAGGTTGGTTGAACATTATCAGTTTATCAACGAGATAGTCATGACGAGCACGAGTCATTGCCTTGATAAAGATATCTACAAGTTGTTGTTGTGAGAGAATATGTGGCAGTGTAATTTCTTCAGCTAAAATTTTTTCACAAATGAAATGATAATCAACCTCTATATGCTTTGTGCGATCATGAAACACTAGGTTTGATGAAATACTTAAGACACTCGTGTTATTAGCATACAATGGTGTAGGGATTCAATGAATACTAATATTGAGGTCACATAAAAGGCCTCGCAACCAGGAATTTTCGCTGCAATCTGAGGACATTGCTCGGTATTCGACTTCTGCAGAAGATTTAGACACAGTTTGTTATTTATTACATTTTCATGATACGAGAGAATCTCCAATAAATATATACAACTTCTTTAGAAGATTTAGACACAGTTTGTTATTTCTTATATTTTATTGATACGAGAGAATTTCCAAGAAATATACACCACCCAGTAGTTGAGCGTTTAATATCGGGACAGCCTGCCCATTTAGCATCAACATAAGCTCGTAACTGGCTAGAAGAGTATGGGAGAATAATAAACCTTTATGGGAGGTACCTCGTACATAACGAATGATACGATGGATAGCCGAGAGGGACGAAATCTTGGTCTATTGCCCCTCAATTGCCAGATGCCCATTTTTCTTTAACCATTATTTATGCCATCCGAATCAGCTGACTCAATCGATCTAGATTGATTCGCTGGAAAAACAAATTCCAAATTTTAAAGGAAAAGAGTTTATATAGGGTTGCAACTTTATAATATTGAAGTAATGCGTCCTTAAAATAAACCTATAAAAAAACCTATGGAAGAGAGTGTTCTAGTATTAAAAAACCCGCAAATTCATCAGCATCTTGATCTTGTGATCTAAGAAGGGAAAAAAGAATTCGAAGTCATAAAAAATGTAATCTTGTAATAAGTTATTTGAATTGTTTATTTTCAATTTGTATTGTTTCTTGATATGATTTGTACTATTTTTAAATTTTAAATATCAAAGCTAGGGATACATTTTTTTTAAGCCATTAAAAAATTCGGATACCAAAACAAATAACTCTAAGCAAATAGACACGGACCTTACTTCCACAATACAAGGAGGCAACCTTGTACAAACCTCACCAAATGCTTGGTGATTAATGCAATGACGGACGGATTTAAGGAAAAAATGGGAAATTTTATAAATTTTTCCTTGGCAAATGGGCTCCAAAAAAAGGCGCCGGGCATTTGATTAATTCTAAAATAGGAAAAAAAAAAACAAATTGGTTTCCCGCCCGAAAAATCGAACGAAAAACACGCGATCCCCAACAGCATCTCTAACAAAATATTGACCGCCCGATTCCGCGACGCCCACAGGATCTCCACCGTCCATTGATCCCCGTCATGGATCCGTGCCATCTCCAACACATTCCTTCTCCTGTATAAAAGCTTCGCAAGCTCGAACAGCATCCTTACAGAGCGTTTTACCGCCAAGGGTTCAAGGCACAAAACATTTTTCGCTCGGTTTCTAGAGAGAACTTTCGATTCAGAAGAGAGAGAGCGATAGAGAAATGGCTTCAACTGGTGGTTCCACTGGGAGGGGAAAAGCTCGCGCTAAGGGGGTTTCAAAGTCGATGAAGGCAGGCCTTCAGTTTCCCGTGAGCAGGGTGGCTCGTAATCTGAGGCGAGGGCGTTATTCTCAGAGGATCGGTGGTGGTGCCCCTGTTTTCCTCGCTGCTGTTATTGAGTATCTTGCTGCTGAGGTGTTGCCCATTTTACCATTCTCTCTCTCTCTTCATTTGTCATTTGTCATTTGTTTTCTTCATTTTATCTCTTTGCTGCTTCATTCTTTCTCTCTCATCTCTCCTCCCACATTTCTCTGCATCTTTCTCATTTGTTTTGTGTAAACTTTGCTGAATTCTCCATTGGCAAATTGACGATGGTAAAGGTGTTGGAATTAGCGGGAAATGCGGCACGTGACAACAAGAGGAGCAGGATCATACCACGGCACGTGCAACTGGCCGTGAGGAACGACGAGGAATTGGGGAAATTGTTGGGTCGCGTCACCATCGCTGGCGGTGGCGTTTTGCCCAACATCAATCAAATCCTTCTCCCTAAGAAGAACGCTAAAACCAAGGCCGAGGCCGGCACTCAGTCTCAGGAGTTTTAATTGATTCAGCTCTGCCTCCCCTATGTACATATTCTACTGATCTTCAGAGAGAGAGAAAGAGAGAGATGATTTTGGTGAATTAATGGGGGAAAGTTTGGGATGAAAGTGTGTCTTGTTTTTGGTTTTGGGTGTAATGGAAAGGAATAGTTTTGATGTACAATTATTCTGTTTCATTCTTGCGTTTGCTTTTGATGGGAGTGTAGTGTTTTACGGCCTACTTTTTCCTATTTTGTTACCCATATGTAACTTGTGGGGTATCTTGATATTTAGTATTTCTGCGAATATTGCGAACCAGTCTCGTGGAAAGATCTATTTATGAAGGTCGGCGATCTTGTCCTCTTTAGTGACCAGGGGGGGTGTTTCTGCGCGTGATCTGCAGCAGTTTTCTTGATTATATCTTTATGTCGGTTAAATGTGGAATTTAGCAATTAAATTGAAATAAACGTTTCAATTACCTAAGAATAACTCTAAAAGGCAAAATAGAGCAGAAGGGGGACTCTCTGCAATTAGTCGTCATAGTCACGTGGTTCGATCATTAGTTATGGAAATTTAAGTTCTGTTGCATTTGGCTTCATTTTCAACTGTCCTTAACAAACTTTTAATATATTTGTACCGGGTAAGCTGCATAATATATGATTTTAAATTGTCGTTTTGATTCAATAATTTTTGTTGATATTAAGTAATTAATCTGTTTTTTTATCTCTTGGCTCTATTTTTGATGCAAACTTTTTAGGATGGTGTGATAATGTTTTTTATTTTTAATTGTAAAATTTTATATTCCAAAATAGTTGAATTTTAGTTATATATTCAATTTAATAGTCTTAAAAATTCATAAGTTAAAAGAAGATGTGGCAATTACCCCATAAAATCAATTGGACTTGTCCACCAATTGTAATTGCCACTGGAATTAATTTGGTTATTGTTGAGCTTGTTTATGCCTTGGAGCGCATCTTTCGGAACTAATGTTGCAGTATGTTTTAGTACGGAGGTAATTTAGATTTATGCTCTAATTTGAATTTATTACTTCTACTTGTTTCCTGACAAATGTCTCATATATCATCCTAATTAACAGTATATTATATATAAAAATGGGAAATGTGTGTCTAAGGGTGGAGCGTTTGATTATATTATAAAAACGTAGCCACTGGTCATATCGAATTGGTGACGTTTGGACGGGTAAAAAGAATGGGGGAATTTGTTATCGAAAAAAATTGTGTATCATGTAGCAAGTTATGTGGACTTTCAGTTTTCAAAATTTGAAAATATCTAGACTTTTTTTATATGTATTTTTTTTAAATTTTAAATTTCATAATTTGGGATGAAGAGAAATTTTTGAGCTGTCTTAAAGTTTCCTACACTAAGGTTATGTCTCCAATCAAAATTTGAAAGTGTTCCTTACGTTTACAGTATAGGGGAGCACCTTTTACAAGACACCTTTTATACCTTTTGGTAAAAGTTATTGTAAGTGATACTCGCGTTGTGTAGTTAAGATGAATCGCTATTATCTTTCAAAATATGATGCTTTTGGTAAAACATTTAATTGATCATTTCATTGTCCAGATGTATATTTGAAGTTCAAAATTTCTTAGTTAAAGAGAAATATTGATTATTACACCATCTTAAGAATTTTTAACTTCAAAATTATTTCTCATGACAACCTTTAAACTTGGATATTACTTTGATTGTTTTTTATTACAATCTTATGCAATCTGGTCGAATAGGGAAAGGTTGCTATACTTCCCATTTATGCTTCCCCAACCATCCAGCTCTCAAGAGAGCTGGAAGCATAGAAAGCTTGGCCCATTATTTTTATGACTATAACTTTTTCTTTTTGTGTTTTATTAATTCAAAATAATGCTTGGGTTGTCAATTAATTGGCTTGGTACTTGAAATTTAACACAACTTATTTAGAAATTTTGGAAAAATTCAAGTTTAGAACCAGCCCGCTTGTTTGTTTTTCAGAATGAAATACTGGTTCGGTACTTGTTTTCCACCTACTCACATAAGACGACAATTATGCTTCTCCATAGACAATTATGCTTCTGCATAGCCTGGCTGATTTGTTTGGTCTTTTAGTTTGAAACCTTGTTCAGAATTTGGAAGTTTTGAACTAGTTGGTTAGCGAAAGATTGGTTAGAGACCTAACCTTTCAAACCAATCTCTCGTTCAAAAGAAAAAAAGTACCCCGATTGAGATCCTAGAATTCCAAACATGAGGTGTCTTTGATTAATGAAAAAAAAAACGCATGAATTTAAAAAAGGGTGAAGTTTGTATAAAGTGTCAACCTTATACCATTGAAGTAAGGTGCAAGTCAAAACTATATTGAAAATGCAATTTTGGTGCTGCAAAGCTTTGTGATGATATGAAAATCTATTCTTGTCCCCAATTATTAAATTTAAGGCCAAAAAAAATGGTGATAATCAAGAAAACATATAAATATTCAAAAATCTTGAAAATGGACAAATCGAGATAATGTGGTAGAAGATAAACTATTTTAGGATTAGAAATCCCTTTTTGATGTATATGAATATCAGTTGATTGATTTGAGGGTTTTTCAATATAAAAATAATCTAGTGGTTTTTTTAGGTGTATGTTACTTTTACATCACCTTATATAAACTTTTTCTTTTTAAAAAATGATGCAATATAAGCCCATTTTTATATTAAGTAAGGAAAATTGATTGATAGGGTTGCAGCCAGATACCAAAATAAGTAAATCTTTGCCTCACAGTTAATCTAAAATTGCAATTCAAGTATTAGAAAACTTTTACATCCATCATCTTGGCTTGAACATTATTGTTGTGAAAAAAAAAAAGGATTTCAATCTCTAAACAATGTATATTATAACAAATTATTTGGACAGTTCATTTTGCACAAAAAGTAAGTGTCCATCGACTTTGCAATTTGTACTATTTTTTGAGTTTTAAATTTCATTGTCGATGTTGGAAATTGATTTTTAAAATCATCATAGATATTTCCATTGCCTAAAGTACTTTCCGAATGAAGATTTAAAATGAGGCTTTATTTTGTTTCATAAAGATTAGGCCTTGTAGAAACCTCATCGTAATTATAAGAAATTACATAAAAAATTAGCAACAATATATTTTCTTTTACAAATACTAGTTTTGTTGGAATTTGGTTGAATTTGAGCTCGAGCCCCATAATTTTTATTTATTTTTGGGTGAGTCAAGGGGAAGAGGCCCCTACCTTAATTTTGTTTTTTTGGGTGAATCAGTGGGAAAAAAAGCCCTTGCCACCACCTTACATTTTAAAAATAACTAATTACATTTTTAAGGTAATTTTGTTTTTTGGGTGAGTCAATGGGGAAAAAGGTCCTTTCCCCTACCTTAAATTTAAAAAATAAAAAAGAGAGACCCTACCTTTGGTAGGAATTGAGGCTAGGAAGTAGCGTTGAAATCGTAAAGCGCCAAGCATTAAGCCGAGAGATGCTCTCACCATCTTCATATTCGTAGTTCAAAGTTTCAAACAACCGGTCACTCTCTCCCTCTAGAAAAGAGTTGAAAGCAGACGAAAGAAGGAGAGGTTTTGGTCATTTTAAATCAATTGTGTTTCTCCTCCTTCCAAGTGTACCATACAGTTCAAAGTCCTCATTTTCTTTCTCCTTCCTCGTTCAAATTTCGGCACTCTTTCGGCCGACACGCCGCACAATTTCTTTCAAATTGCGCACACACCCTCTCTCTACCTACCTGCTCCCCCGGGCCGACCTCCCAAAGCCATTCAAATTTTTTCTAAATTTGCTTGCTTCTCTCTTCCCAACACACTGTACTATCTCTCTACAAATACATATCAAGCACATTCTCTCTCTAACTTTTAGAAAAAAAACAAAAAAAAACCCCAAAACTATCATTTTTATACAACTTACCTTTAACTTAATTTTTTCTCTCATTTTTTTTTCCAAAACATACTGCAAAACCCTTAATAAAAAAAATAAAAAAATACCTAAATTACCTTTCTACTTTTATCTTATTTGCTCTCTTTCCTCTATCCTATCAAAATAGGGGCTCTAGCAGCGTGTAAATACGTTATGTCAATAACGTTTCGACATTGTGTAAAATGCGGTTCGGCAGTAGGACTCCAACACTGTGTAGAATGCAGTGGGACAGTAGGGCTCCAGCACTGTGTAAATTGCAATCCGGCAGTGGGAGTCAGACATTGTAAAATGACGTCTGCCATTTACATTTACAATATGCGGTTAGACGGTTGCCCAAGATGATGCGGTAGTTGCAAAGGGCAGTCCATCACTTGTGCACTTTGACAATATGAAGGTGCGTTCAGGCAATGTGCTACTGGGTCCAACTGTCAATATATCGAAAATGATTTTTGTGCGCTCAAACAATGTGCTACTGGGTCCAAAAGTCAATATATCGAAAATGATTTTTGTGTACAAAACATATATTTCCATATAAAAAAATGAACTTTTTTTCTTTGAGGGGTATTTGTATATAAAACTTGTTTTGGAGAATGAAGTGAGAGAAAAAATTAAGTTAAAGTTAAGTTGCATGAAGACTATGGTCTTTGATTTTTTTTTTATTTTTTTATTTTCACAAAAAAGAATAAGCAGATCCCACAGCAAGCAAAAAATTCTCGTTTCTTTTGTTTCTGTCCCGTACGCTTCCTCTTGTGGTCCTGTCATCCTCCTTTTCACGCAACCATTCCCACATGGAAAATTCACGAATAGTAAAGGGTAGTTTTGTCTTTTCCACCTAACCCATTCCCTTCAAAACGCAGTCAAACAAGAACTCCCTCTCTCTCTATTTTTCAGTCAAGAAGTAGACGCCCATTCCCCTTATTCAAACATATCACAGTAAAGTACCAAACAACCCCATATCCTCTGTCCTCCTATCCATCCCTCTCTATCTCTTCCCCGCCTCCCTGAATTTCAATGGAGAAGAGAAGGGAATTGATGGAGAAAACAAAGGTAGAGAGAGGAGAGAGAGAGAAAGAGAGAGGAGTGAGAGAGAGAGAGAAAGAGAACTCTGGTCAAGCTCTGGTGTGCGTACGCAGAGCACCTAGTGTTGAAGTTATGAACTTGGCAGCCATCGCCATTGATCTCGGCGTGAGGGTTCGAGCCGCTAATATGCCTGCACCTTTGCAAGAGAGAGCCTTTCGCCAAGCTTCTCTAATTCTCTCCGAGACGAAAACAAAGAGACCCAATTGCAAGCTTGTGGCTCTAAGCATCAAAAAGGTATTGGGGGCTCATAGACTGAATGATTCTGAGAGTTTTTCCTGCAGTTTTAATTTATATTCTTATTCTTCTTCTTGTATTCGTATTCTTAATGATTCTGAGTGACTTTTTGTATGGTTGTGATTGAAACTTGTGTTTTTCTTTGGTGGGTTTTCAGTTTCTCGGTGATTTTGAGTTATTTTTGTGTAATTTGGATTGAAACTTTGTTGATTTTTGTTGGGATGATTTGTTGGGGTTTTTGCAGGAGTTTGATGGGTGTTATGGGCCGGCTTGGCATTGCATAGTTGGGACGAGTTTTGGGTCTTTTGTTACGCACTCACCAGGGGGTTTTGTGTACTTCTCCATTGACAAGATCTCCATTTTGCTTTTCAAAACTAAGGTGGACCTTGTCCCAACTCCATCTTCCTATGATCCTAGACATCACAGGATGTCTCTATGATGCATCTCATCTCTCTCTTCTTCAACTGATGTAATCAGGGTTCTGATGGATGAGTAGTTTCAAGTGACACTCTCTCTCACTTCTCTGTAAATTGAAGTTATTGATCCTAATACACTCCTTTGTTTCCAACAAAGTCTCTCTCTCTCTCTTTCTCACATTTATTTAGCTGGTGTATTTATGGGTTTGGAATTTGGTGTTATAAAGAGGTTTATTGCCCAGAGGGAGATTAGTAGTCTCTGTGTTTTGTAAGATTAAGAGTTTATTCAGTGAAGATTAAGGGCTTTTGCTTTGTGTTGGGGCGTCTGTACTAATCAGTAATTACTAAATTTGGATTTCCATCTCACTCTAATTTTTAATTGTACTTAGACTTGGTAATGGGTGATCAGATGTCTAAAAGCAGGAAATAAGGTCATATAATACTGAAAAGGGTCATCGGGTAAACAACCTGTTGCTAATATCACAAAAGAAGCCAAGTAAAAGGAGAAAACTTTATTCTTTTGAGAGAAAGAGGGAGAGATTTGCTTTTTCTTTCCTCTTTTTTCTCTTTGTTGCATTGGGTAAGACAAAGAGGGTACAGATTGATTTTATTCAGGAAGATGAGAAATTGATTCATGGGAAATGAGGACCGCATTCCGATGTTCTCCTCAATAATTAGCGGAAAGAGTTCACCTTCATTTCCTCCACACATAAGCCCCCCTCATTTGACATTAGAGCTAGGGAGAGAGAGAGAGCTGAGAAGACATGACTCAAATAAGGACACATGATTTTGAAACAGAGAGGTTACAATCATCATTTAATGTTGAATTTGAAATAGGCAGGTGAAGATGTGTTATTATTGGCACAAAATCCAAAATAGAAATTTTCTAATATAAAATTTTTCAAGATGCGACACACTTTTGTATATTGGATTGGTGTTGTCAAATTCACTTCCATTATGTGAACGAAATCTTTGGATTTTAGGCTTAAATAGCAACGAAGCAAAGCAAGTGCTATCACTTTGGATAGATTAGGGCTGCTTCAGTTAGATTTGGGTTTGTTTCGAGCATACTTAGCCTCTTCGGCCCAAATAAAGAAATAACTATATAAAAATATTTTTTAATTTATTTATTTTTTAATTTTATTTTTTTCATTAATTTTATATATTGATGCTGCCGCCTCGGTCAAATTCGGGTTCGCTTCAAGCAGATACGACCGAAGCTTCAACCTCTTCAGCCCAAGCAAAGAAATATCTATATAAAAGTATTTTTATTTTTTTTCGAAATTTTTATTTTTAATTTTTAATTTAGAGCTTGATGTTGAGATGAAGTATATCTATATAAAAGATGGGTATATTTTTATAAAAGACAATGTTGAGCTTGATGTTGAGATGAAGTATACAACTATCACAACCACGGTAGTAGTTGTAGACTTCATCCCAACATTGAGACCTGCAACATTTTTCTAGACCATGATTTCAAGTTCAACCCTCAGATAATGAGATACATTGCTCTTGAAGAATCTTAGAATAACCGAGGTTTGAAATTTTCAATATTCCGACTCCGTAAACATCATTTCTTGCCAATTCAAAATTTAAGTGGCTTTCATTTCTCGTTTAAATTCTGGCATGATTTCGTATTCAAATTCTAGCACATGTTGATTCACTGTGAATCAGTTACTAGGAATTTCCCTGATCTTCTTCTTTCTTATCTCAGTTTGCTGGTTGGCCTTGCTTGATGGCCCTTGTTGGGTTTCAAAGTAATTCTCCTTATTATTGTTTTATTTGTTTACTAGAAAATGGTCAACCATACTACACATTGCTTACTTTTCCTGTTGCACCTGAGTTTGAAAGGGCATAGAGAGAGTGTTTTATCGGTATATTACGCCTCAGAAATAAGTCATTGTTTCCTAGACGATTTATAAAATGAGGATTAACATAGAAATTGTTTGGATGTATTCATTTCACTGATAATTTACTAATTGAATAAAACTAATTCTGATAATGAATCATCGAGTGTTTGGCAGTATGCCTTATAAAATTAAGATAAATTTATAGGCAGTCTTACATGTAAGTTTAAGTTTTTATAAATAAAAATAGGTGAAAATCAGACAAAAAGTTCGGTAAGATTATACAAAGCATATTAATTTCAAATAAGATAGGCTATACTTAATGGGTGCCGTTTGTATAGCGCCGGGCTCTAAATAGTCAAATTAGAACCCACTTTCAAAATAGTGTTGATAAATATGGTTTCAATATTGGAAATCTTTGTGATAGCCTTAAAATATATTTTCATCTTTAATTATAAAATTTAAGGCTTAAAAAATAGTGTAAATCGAGCAGATTTATGAAAACTTAAAAATCTTGAAAATTGACGGTCCAAAAATATATTATAAGATGCACTATTTTCAAAACTCGAAATCTATTTCTTTCTCATATCTATGCATCTTGATGTTGAGATGATCAATTTAAGGATATTTAAGCATCAAAACAATCTCTTTTAGTGAAATTTTTGAGGAGGGTTCTAATTTGATGGTTTAGAGCCTCGGCTCTATATAAACTTTTTCCATACTTAATTTAAGAATTATGTTTACTAAATTATGCAAATGACAATTTTAAATGCAAAATTGATAATGTTTTCAGATCTATTTTTAGGATAATGTGGAATCTAACTTTTGAATGGGGATAGCTTGGGATTCAAATGTTTCTTACATGCCCCTTTAAGATCCCTCATTGTGATATACTATATGGATATGGATGTCTAGAGAATGAAATCACTAGCCAAGTTTAAGTGATATTTTCGGACAAAGATTTTATGGTCTGGTTCGACCACCAAATCAGGTGATCTGACCCTCAAGAAATACAGCAAGGGCGATTCCGCAATCTGAATATTTTCAAATTATTTTTATTTCATCTTGTGAGAAGTTCCAAAAAAAAAGTAAAATAAAGTTCTCTCATGCTTTTAGAATCTTAGATCTACCATCCAGAAATCGATGGTATAGAGGTAATCTAATGGGAGGGGCTTTATTATAAAATCTTTTAAGCTTTTTCTTCTTCTTTTTTTAGTTTTTTTATTGAAGATTGTTTCTTTGGAGAAGCTAAAGATGATATGAAAAATCTAATCTCCTAACCATGTCTTCAGGGTACGACCTTGTATTGTATATGGTCACACCACATAATAAGTGGTCCTATTGTTTCAAATTAATTTATAGAGTAAAAAGTTCATATAGGGTTTCAATCGGTTTAGAAGTAAGGAAAACCCAAAAAACTTACCAAATATATTGTTCTACACTGCAAAACCCTACAATTGATCATCTTGACCTCGAATGTATGGAGGTGAAAAAAAGAAAAATTTGATCTCAAATCTTGAAAATAGCTCACCTTATAGCATATTATCTAGACCATCCATTTTTTAAATTTTCAAATGTTGGTAGATCTACTCGATCTTGACCGTTTTTAAAGCTTTAAAATTCACAATTAGAGACAAAAACAACTTTTTAGGCCATCACACGATTTTCGAGCACCAATACTACGGCTTTCAGCATAATTTAGATGCATGCGTGACTTGGATTGTTTTGACGCCTTTTACAAGCCACACCCATTTATAAAACAGATAATTTGTTTAATCTGAAATTATACAATTTTGCTATTTTCATGACACGAAACTACAAAATAGGAATGGACTCAGAATGACATAGGGCTAGCTTCGAGTAGGGGTAGCTTTGAGCAAAGATAATCTTGAAATTAAATTTTTTTAATAGGGGTATTAGTAATAAAAATCTCTCTCTCTTACCCCTAATCCTACTTAGTAATATAATATAACAAATAGCACAGATCTGTTTCCTGCAATTCACAAAAAGTTTCAAGAGCTTAGACTTGAGGGAGCATTAAACATAATCCTTGGTTAGTTTCTTTTAGTTGTTTTTGCTAGTTGTCATGCTCACAGGATTGGTGAGTCAGTTGTATTTAATAGGTTTGTTGTGATTCTTTTGGAGTTTTCTTATAGTTAAGAGAGCAAAGTTACTGATATACAGACAACTATCTCCTTCTATTCAGCACTCAAATTGCACACTAGTTAATCTGAACCCACACTAGTTAATCTAAACCCCATCACTTAACCACATATTCAAACAAGAAAAGCTTGCTGAAGAACCTGCCTTCTTCTTTTTTTCAACCCTTTGTTTAGGCATGGCTGCTACATGGTTGCCAATTTGAAAGTGCTTCAGGTGCCATAAAATAAAGTGTGGAAGAAATCACAGTAATAAGACAATTTTTTGCCTCAATATTTTTTATCATAATGGTTTAGCATTACTAAACAGTTTTGTTGTTGCTGAAAAAGGGATGTTTTGGCAGAAATTTGGAAAGGCTTGCTAAAATTTTGGTTGCCTATTGACACTGGCTCTAAGTAGTCAGAATTCTAGATATAAAACTAAGATTGAATTTGTGGCTTTCAATTTGTTGCAGTTGAAATTTGCTGTTGCAATCAAGATTCTGGAATTCAGCTCAATTTCCTTTTGGTGCTGAAATCAAAGTTTTGGAATAAGTAAATGGAAGAGGTTAAGCTTAACCCTCATTAACACAGAATCCTTGGCCCATTAGAAATATTCGGATCCTGTATTCATAAATAGTTGCCAATTAACTTTTGTATTCATCATACTCTGTTATGTTATTGGATCAATAAGTTTTTTTTTTTTTGGGTAATTCAAGAGGGAAGACATACCCATAGATTAGGAGTTAGCTTTAAAAGTATTAATGGGGTGGTGTTAGTGGTGGGAATAAAAACCACAACGTGGTAACTAGGGTTTGTGGTGCTACCATCATGACCCAACCCCTTTCCCTATTGTATCAATAAGTTCATATTCCTAGGTGGCTAGATGAGTCGACATTCAATGAAATTTAGGAATTTTTTTTCTTTGATGAAAATCATAACAAATCCCTTCAATTTTTTTTTCTCTCAAATCCTTTGAGCTTGAACTAAAAACTATCACCTTTAACCAAGGCAATTTTGGGATTTAATCTCCTGCGGAATAATATACAAGTATTTCATTAAAAAGGAGAAATTTATCGAAACACACTTAAGAGTTAAAACTATTTAACATTTCATCCAAATCTTGTAATTTAATTTTAAACAGTCTATTATATTTTAAACTAAAATTTAAATAGCTCAAATAACACATTTTATGGGTTTTGAAATTTATCAAAACAATGTTACATAGTTTAACTTTTAGATATGATTTGATAAATTTTTTCTTAAAAAAAAA